CAGAATAGTATTCCATTGTGTATATATACCACATCTCCTTTATCCAATCACCTATTGAAGGACACTTTGGTTGTTTCCATGTCTTGGCCACTGTAAATAAAGCTGCAATGAACATCAGAGTACATATATCTTTATGGATAAAAGGATCTTATTGTTAAGTGAAATAAACCAGTACAAAAGAAATACTGTGTGAGTCCACTTATATGAGAATCTAAATGAGCCAAATTCATAAAAACAGAAAGTAGAATGGTGTTTAGCAGATAGTGGGGGGAATGGGAACGGTGAGTTGTTTAATGGGTGCAGAATCACGGTTTTACAAGATGTAAAAGTTCTGGAGGTCTGTTGCAGAACATTTTCAATATGCATACTTAACACTACTGATCTGTACACTTAAAAATAGTTAAGAGTAAATTTTATGTTATGTGTTTTTTTCTTTTACCACAATTCAAAAGCTTTTTAAAGGAAATAATCATTTTTAAAAAGTAAATATCTTGGTAGCTTGGTTCCAGGTTGTTACTCAATTCTACATAAGCAAATATTTTTGAGATGAAATATGAGCCATAGGTTTGAGAGAAGAATAGATTTTAAAGTTTTGTACAGTTGAACAATGATTTAGGATACAGAAAACAAAAAGTAGGAAGGAAAACATTTATTGAAATATGAGTGCTCTGAAGTTATGCTGGATGTGAGGACTGCCAAAATGATTTCTAACAAAATTTTTCTTCCTTTAGATGGTTTCAAGACCTATAGTCTGCGGAAAATGTGGTTGTCAAATCGAGGTTTTATTGTGAATTCTGATAATGAGGGTTGCTATCGTAATTAGGACAAGAATCACAATGGGAAGCCATTGTGGTGAAAATGATTTGTCAGTAAATGGAATGTCTGAATCCTCCGACATTAGACTGGTTAGGACATTGGGAGGAAATAATGCTGGTTGGTGGTTTATGTAGTAGAAGATACTTAAAAATTCTTAGGTTCTGTTTTGCAAGATGCAAAAGTTCTCACCATCTTGTGTCACTTCTGGACTAAAATGACTTCTTCTTCTCCGGCTCTTTGAGAGCTGGTTTGGTTTTCTTCCGTAGCACATTATTATGGTTTGCACCAAACTACGGTTATGGCTATTCTCCTTATAAAATGCATGTGGTCCAGCCCTGAGAAGCAGTCCTTCAACCCTTACAGGGAGCTAGCTCATTAGCTGAGGGG